GAGAAAATCTTTGTCTGTGGCACGTGTTTTATGATTGTTGTTTTTTGCTGTTATTGTTGTATAATATACAAATTATGTCTAAAATACAAACCCCAACAATTTACAATAACATACAAATGATATCCTGAACGAAAAGTGCGATATGAAAATCAACATTGCCAATACAGAAGTATTGAAAGTCAGCAAAACCCAGGCCCACTAGTTGAGGAATCAAAATACCTTGGAAACATATTTATTATTTACACAAAGCAGAAGAATGGACAGGGCAATTGAAATGATGACCTAAAAAGCAAATGCAGTAACCTATCAATTGTCACTACAAGAATCTACTACTCTAGAAAGATAAAGTAAAGTACGAATTGTTATCAAATGTCATCGCCCTTATCATCTTTTTCTTCTTTGTGTTCCTTTGCTGGATCTCAGGGGTAGTCAACTGTTGGTTGTTCACCTTGCCAGTGCAACTGATTTTACGTGAGTGTCCGATTTTGCCACACGTCCCCTCCTGCCATGTTATAGTAATCTTGATCATGATAATGATGATGATGATAAGAATAAGAATAATATTGATAATAATATTGATAAAAATTAAAAATATCGTCATCAAAACCATCAATTTTGTTTTTATTTTATATTTTATATGGTTGTTGTTGTTGTTGTTATTATTATTTTTATTATTATTATTATTATTAAAACAGGATGATGATGATATTGATGATGTCATTTTATTATTAGACCTACAATTATCAATGTTGTTGTTGTTGTTGTTGTCGTCGTTGTCGTCGTCATCGTCTCTGTTATCAAGAATCGGGCATGTGCACACTCCGTGTTAAGCTCACTGCAATATTTACCGATGTTTAATCAATGTGGGGTTCTTTCTTGTTTGCAAATGAGCTCTTTGTGTTTCAGCCGCATTGTCTTTGAGTTCCGACATCGTTGCCAAGTGTGGGTTCCATTAAACAAACAATGTGTCACCATCGCACGCAGAAGACGTGAGTTTGATTCCCGAGAGTATTCCCGATTTTCTGTAGACTGCTGATTCCCACTTAGCACATGTTGGCACTGGCATGCAGGGCCGAAGCTGCTCGCTCCTAAAAATATCGGCTAGATTCTGTCGAAGGAGGAGTAAAACATTTTGAACACCTGAGAACAACAACAAGGTTAAGTCACATTTTCCTGAAAATAGAGTCCTGTATATCATTAGAAAGCGGCGACAAAGAGCTATCTTTTAATAGCACTGCCGAAGCGCTACTTTGTTCCCAATTATTCTTGTTCAAAGATGCGAAGCCTAAATACAACAACAAGGTCAAGTCCACAAAAAGTCTTCTTAAACCCTCTGGATCTAATCGGAATTTATTTGAATATTTCACGAAAGGACGTTTTTCTCATTTTCTCGAAATCATGTAAATGTGACTGAACCTTGGTGTTGCTCTCAGGTCTTCTTTTAACCGATCAGCCCATTGAACAGGACATGACATAAGCATAGTATTATGTTTTTTGTTACTCCATAATTATGGACAACGCGAAATGGCGCATTCACTGAAAAGACACATCTATCGTCCTTATCTCCCCTCCTTCTTTTTTATGTTTGTTACTCTCTTGTAACACCTTTAATCTTCTGGCGCTCATATGACCGTATACAGTTGCGAGCGCCGTAAAACCTCTACTAAAACTAAAACTATACTAACTGAAAAAACAACAAGAAGAAGAAGAAAAACATTTTTGAAAAAAGTATGAAATAAATAACGATTGTATAGCTCCGTCACTACAGCCCCGCTGCTTATGAATTTATTACATTAAGGATGTTTAAGGTTTGGCTCTGAGAGGGTGCGAATTGTTACCACCCTCCTGGAGAAATGGGGCCAAGTGGAGAGGAGGGGTGAGGGGGGGGATAGAGAGGGATGGGGTGGAGAGGGAGGAGGGAATCATAACCCGCCTTGAAATCATCTTTCTGTACGTTGATGTAATGTACTTTGTTACTGAATTAATTCCCCATTCAATATAGAAATTAAATGTAATTTGAAAAGCAAACTAAGTGTACCTGGGATGCTAAAAGTTCATCGCCAACAATAAATGTTACGTTATGTATTTATATCATGAATAATATCCGAGTGTTTTCGACGCGTTTATGAACAGAAACCTAGACTATTATTTCGAGTGTAGATTTAGATTAGAGATAAATCACCCATTTCAGCGCCGTAAGGTTATTTTGGAGATCGGGCCCCCAAATGTAATGTCCTTCTCCGATATACCAGGTACAGTCAGAGAGGCCGCCGTTGAAGACACCCAAAAAATGAGTTCGAAGCAGGATTATGTTCGTAGAATGTAATAATGATAATAATAATCATAATCACAATCATAATGATTCATTATCATCACTATTAATATTATTAAGTGTTATTGGGTGCGGTTGTCTGTCAGCGTTAAAAACTCAAATTTTGAGAAGTTTTACAACGCCTCAGGGGGTGACAAACCACGGAGAAACTATCGACCAAAGCGAGACAACTGCAAAAAAACAAAGACCTCAACTCCATCGCTGTCGCTTTTTGGAGCAGCGTTATATACAATTTTCTGACCTTCGACCATATTTATTTAGAACAATAAATTGAGGAACAAACCCACGAGAGTGATAACAATTATATGTTATGAAAGGTCATACTACGTCGTGTTTTCATTATTGATTTCTTTTCTCTTTTTTCACACGAATGCGCACAATTTGAACAGCGTGTGTTAAAATTGCCAAACAATTACAGCTTTTAGAGGGGATTTTTAAAAGTCTCATTGTGGGTGGTTCGAGGATGGCACTGGTAAGCCTGCTGCTTTTCTCTCTCCCCGTTTCTCTCCCTCCGCTTTTTCGATTTTTTTTACTTTTCTCTGCACGACACGGCTGCTGGCTTGTCGATATGCTTGTCTAAACTTAACAATTTCTAACCTCTCTCTTCTCTCAGCGGCATTGTACTTCTGTCTTTACCTCCTTAAAGTAGCACTGACAACTACTGACCCATTTTGTAGGCCACGCATTGTTTGTTTGAGCTTCAGTTTGAGTAAATAGAAACACATCGACACAATAACGGTCGCATAGTGCAAGGAAGAAACGAGACAGATAGAAAGAAACAAACAGAGGGAAATAAAAAAAGTAGGACCTACCTGTGGTGACCTCCAACTACCCGCTCCACTGGCTGTAATTATATTATTGTAATTGTAGTTGGTCTACGCCCCCATGAGCACGAGTTATGTCATTTAGGAGGCGGGCTGCTTCGACTCTGTTTTTCAGGGCCAGACGGACTGAGAGGGATACAACGTCCAAGCAAAAGGACCACTGCAACACAAACACATAGTCTGTGCCGTTGGCCGAAACATCAGTGCCTTTTTTTCATACAGCTTTTAACCCCTTAACTGCCTGGCTCCTGGCTGTTTCGGGTTCTTTGGTACAGTTTAAATGTAGACATTGAAGTAAAAGTGTATTCCTGCATTTTGTTTTTAAATGTTTGAAACAGATTATAATTGGCTTAAGAGGCCATTGTTCTTTTCTGTTCTATTATAGAAATTATTGTTGATGTCTTCTTTCCATTTCAAAATCGTCCACTGTGTAGCAGTAGTTTCAAAACGCAAAGGTCTCTTTCTGTCAGTGAAGGGCTTAACCGTGCACTGACAGCTGGTTCAACATTATAAGAGTCAAATGATCAATTCCAATCCATCGTCTCTTCACTTTGTCAGGCGGGTACATTCGGTGCACCAGTAGAGCAGTGTCGCACCCTAGATAAAATTTCACTCGTCGTAAGGCTGCAAAGCATGACATCATTTGAAAACGGAGAGAGACATAGGGGCGAAAATTGCTTTGTCTGCATACTCGCGGCGTGAGGCAAATGGAAACGTTCCTGGTGTGCGCGGGTCCTAACGTAACATAACAACATTTATACATAATTTACTGGGTTCACGAATAAGAAATGCTCATTCAATAGGTCCCGGGTTCGAACCCGGATAGGGGCGGAACATTTTCTTCTCTCAAATGTTCTCCTTTCACATCCTTTCCTGCTCTCTAACTATATTCTGTCGTCTTCTTTCGTCTCCATTTTCTGCCCCCACCCCCCTCACCTCCTTTGCCCCCTCCTCTGGGCTCCTGACTCATTCTGCAGTCTTTCTACTGCTTTCCCTGGACTCCTTCTTACTGTCTTTCAGCCACTCCCCTGATCTTAAGGTAGGTAAGATCTACACCTACCCTTCACGGACAAGGGATAAAAATCTTGGAGGTCCAGTGTGCATGTTGCGCATGTTAAAGATCCCTTTGTGGTCCAAAATCGATAAGAGTAGGCTTCGGCCGCCACACGGGTAAAATTCAAAATTTCCTACCAATTAAACATGGTTGGTGTGTCCCGCACGCTCACGTGACCTTATGCAGTTGCGAGCGCCGTTTAACACTTACCAAAAGGGGGGGGAAGACATGGACCGACGAGCTATTATAATATATACCCCCCTCCCCAATACACACACACTTTTTATCTCTTTGCCCCCATTGTAAATCATATAGGCTACATAAAGCAGCAAACACAGTGATTTTCCAATTCATAAAATACAATATACACAGGAAATTACGAATATAAACATAATAATTATTATCATTTATTAACCCTCAGGCGTGAACGATTAGGAACTCACGGGGGAATCCCCAATTGCGGTAAGAAATGTGTTTAATACAATGAAAGATTTATACAGTGCAGTATATTATCTAAAAACCGAGAAACCGTGTGATGCATTAGTTAGAAGTTATGAAGTCTATAAAACCCCGTTTAACTTGCACTGTAGAGAATTTTATCTGTCGATTCTGTTGAACGGAATAATTAAAATATATCGTTGACCAAGCCTGGGCGGGCAAGAAACACCACATAGAGACATGGCGGCAGACTTTGACCTCGTGGGCTAGGTCTGAGGTACGGTTCATAGAGTTTACAGTGTACATCTATGCGTACGGTTCATAGTTTGGTGACATGACCCCTGATGTAAACAAAAACGACACAGGCCGGCTCACAATCGCCGTGTCGCTCGTGACCTTCCGACGAAGTTATCAGCGCGGAACAGGCGGCACAGCTGACGACGACGAAAACGGTAACGCATTATACAAGGCGCCTCTACTTGAACAGAACAGGATCTGCAGACCTTGGCGCTCAGGATCAGACCTAACCTGCCTTCACATCACACACAGAGGCTCGGTCGTGTCGGATGTCGGGGCTATTCAAACGTTAGGGACGGTGAGACAGCAACTTGTGACTTGATCTCAGTTTTACGTCCTGCAGGGAAGGGAGCTCGACTGTTGGTTCCTCGCTTGATTCCAGGTAGGATTATAGTGATGTTATGATAGTAATAGTTTCTGTTCCTCTCGTACTGCATTTTTTCTTTTGATTTCCTTTTGAAGCTTACGATTTTTCCGACTTCGTAGGTGATTTTCTTCTTTTTTTTAGTGCAAGGTTTTTTTACGCTCTAATGGACACAATTTAGATCATTTACTTTTTTGGAGTCGGGCTTCGACCCTACCTGTCAGGGTCAACCCGGGCAGAGAGGGATACATCTCAGCAGAAAGACTGATGCACTCGATAATAATTCTCCCCACTCGGAAATCGAACTTTGGTCTTCTGTTTGTCAAGACGAACTGCTTCACCACATCATGTTCCGTCTGTACATACTATATTATGTGTCCCTTTTTTTCGTGTGATTTTTACAGTTTTCCCGAATGTTTATGTCGACTAGATCTATATATCTAGATCTAGTTAAAGTTAGAAAGCACTTTTAAAATTGAGATTTCTTTTCTGCCTTTCCTTTGGAGCTGTCTGTTAATCTTTGTTTTTCCCCTGTACAAATATGCGTGTATTCTACCAATGTGCATCTCTTTGCTCACTCACAAGTCAACCTTGCAGGTAGGTGGTTGCAAGAAGCCACAGCGAAGTCTGACCTAATTCCTCTCCATTTGTGTTACTGTCTACTCGCGTTTTTCCCTGTTTGAAATTGTCGTTTTCGTCTGGATGAAGAGAGCAATCGTGGTTTGAAGGTTTTGCTGAGTAATAAAATAGGAATGCAGTGTGTTTGTTGTAATGTAAGTGTCTGATCCTCTCTCTCTCTCTCTCTCTGTCTCACTCTCTCTCACTCTCTCTCACTCTCTCTCTCTCTCTCTCTCTCTCTCTCTCTCTCTCTCTCTCTCTCTCTCTTGTTGATTTAGGACGTACAGATATGCAGAATTTCTCCTCTCTCTCTCTCTCTCTCTCTCTCTCTCTCTGTCTCACTCTCTCTCACTCTCTCTCTCTCTCTCTCTCTCTCTCTCTCTCTCTCTCTCTCTCTACCTACCTACCTACCTACCTACCTACCTACCTACCTACCTACCTCTCTCTGTCTTTCTCTGTGGCCAAACTAGTCAACAGAAGGCGTATGGGCTGAATTCCCCGCGAAAGTGATCTCCAAATGGGCCAAAGAACGTTGACCCCTCGAGCTCGAATTACTGTGAAAATGAACAGTTGTTTTTTTCCTGTTTCTTTGCATCGTGTATGAGTATGAGACCGGGGCAGCAGTGACCTTTACGAGATGTTTGTGGTTGGTTAGCGTTAGTTATGTACTTGGCTTTCTGTTGTGTCTGTGTATGTGTGTTTGAGCGTGTGTGTAAGAGTGTTTGTGTGTGTGTGTGTGTGTGTGTGTGTGTGTGTGTGTGTGTGTGTGTGCGTGTGTGTGTATGTGTGTGTGTGTGTGTGTGTGTGTGTGTGTGTGTGTGTGTGTGTGTTTGTAATGTGTATATGTGTGTGGCAGAGACAGAGAGAGAGGGGAGAGGAGGAAAGGACAAAGAAGGAGACTGACAGAGAGAGAAGAAAGAAAGACTGAAAGAGAAATACTGAGAGAGAGAGAGAGAGAGAGAGAGAGAGAGAGAGAGAGAGGGGGGGGGGAGAGGGGAGGGGGAGGGAGAGGGAGAACGTGTGTTCGCGTTCGTATAATGTGTGTGATCTCTGTCGCATATAGCCTATACTGACATGTAAATCTGTGTGTCATGCTCAGCTTTGCGAGGATTATCGATTTAGTCTCCACCCCTCAAACATGCTACTCGCCAGTGGCATGCGAAAACAAAATTAACGTCTTCCTCAAACAACAACCAGGTGATTGTACCCATATCAAATCCTTTTTTCCAATCGCTAGTTTTAGTTTAGTTGGACTGAAAAGAGACTCATCACCATGAATGCAGAAATTGTCAGAAAGAATTTCCTAGAAAGGACATTATATAAACGATGCCAGACCTAAAGACAGAAATGCAAGAGGAAGAGTCAAGAGCTTAGCGTACAACTTGTTTCTTGTACGCTAAGGTCAAGAGATATAACATACCGCTGACACCCTTCAACTACCCACACAATATTTTTGTTTGGTTTGAATAAATACAAGAACAATGAAACAGCAATTGTTTGGGGGGGGGGGGGGGGGGTTTAGTTTGGAAAGAGTTTTACTGCCCTCGCAACTGCATAAGGTCATATGAGCGCGGGAGACATTAAACATAATATAGATTACTATTATTCACTCGGTAGGAAATTTTGAATTTTGCCCGGGTGGTGACCGAGCCTACTCTTATCGATTTTAAACCTCCAAGGGATCTTTAACGAGCGGAACTTGCGCACAACTCAGAGATTTTTCGCCCTTGTCCGAGAAGGCTATAGGTGTAGATCGTTCCTAGCAGAAGATTAGGGGTGTGGCTGAAAGACATCAGTAAGATGTCGCCAAGGAGTAGCAATAGAAAAACTGCAGAAAGAGTCAGGAGCCCAGAGGAGCCTGCAAATGAGGTGAGAGGGTGGGGGCAGAAAATGAAAACGAAAGTAGACAACATAATATTGCCAGAGAGCAGAAAAGAAGGTGAACGGAAACAATTTTGGTGAGGAAAATGTTTCGGTCGCTGGTGTATCCGGATTCGAACCTGGGACCTTTGAATGAGAGGCGAACACCTTAACCTCTAGGCCACGAGAGCCCCCTGCAGCAATAGCAGCGTCGGTGGCTTAATGGTTAGGCTCTCGGGCTCGCAACCGTAAGATCATGAGTTCGAATCTCGTCAGGGACCCTACGTTGTGTCCTTGGGAAAGGGACTTTACATGAATTTTCCCCACTTCACCCATGTGGGAATGGGTGCCCAGCTATAAAAAGTGAAAGACCTTGTCAGTTTGTTACTGTTTGGGCGTTTCATCAGCTGCTTGCAGTGTACGCTTTTCGGGAAGCTGAGAATGTTTCTGAGTGTTTTATGGTCTGCTGGGGCAATAAAATATAGTGTAAACCGCAGAGGGCTTGCTGTAGTGTTGGGTTATGCGCTATACAGATGCTATTTATTATTATTATTATTATTATTATTATTATTATTATTATTATTATTATTGTTATTATTATTATTATTATATGAGATCGAGGATGCAGAGGATCGAGGCTCAGCTTC